ACTTTACGAAGTGGATGGGGTACTGACAGAGAGACGTGTTTCAGTATCTGTCGAATGCTTGGGGAAGAAGCACAAGCTGATTTCCTTTACAGGAAACAAATCTTTTACTACCTTTTTTATTTTTATTATTATTTTAATATATAGATTACATTATTTACATATGCTCTCCGGGTACAAAATTCTAAAATTAAAAAAAAAATTAAGATATAAGAGTAAAAAAAATTCTAATATAATAAAATTATAGTTTTTTTAGGATAAAACATAAAAAAATATGTCACGTTTAATGAGATAGTGAGAATAGTAATTACATTTTGTTGTGGGCGTTTAGGTACTTTTAGAACTTTTTTGTTTTTTAGAATTTGTAAAAGATCTTTTAATTAAAAATATTTACGTAGTATTTATTTCTTTTTATGGATCCTGCGCACTGGTTTATAAGAGCATTAATCCGTGATTAACACAAACTCATTCCAAATCAACATGACCATAAATATTTGGTTTACTCAATTTATTTTTATATACCTCTCATGATACGTAATTTATATTTATTAAAAAGATTTTAAAAGAGTTAATACTTTAAAGGGAAAAAATCTTACACCTTTTTTATTTTTAATTTAATTATAAATAGCATAGAATGTGAGTCTGCTTGGAAATATAATATGAATATTAAAAAAGAAAAAAAAAATCATTGCCGGTAATAATGCAGTTGCTTTCGCGGGTGATGTGCCAACCAGAAACGTACTTCACGTAATTTTTGGATCATTTGAATTCAATCTATATATTAATTACATATATTCCTTTTATATTATTTTAGATTCTTTCATTTTTTTTCTTGTCATTTTCTTTGTCGTTTGAGGCTATTTATTATAGACTTATAGTGGTAGCATATTTTGTGTTAGTGCCAATACACCTCATATTGCTCCTCAGAGTTCACCAATAAATCTAAAGATATGGAATCAAAATCTATCCTATTGTCTCGAATTACACCAATAGATTTCTATCGTCTACATTTAAAACTAATACATAAATGATTTTGAATTGGTCTCATTTTAAAATTTTCATTTTTCTTTGTTGTAGTAAAATATGGAATAGTGACCAAATTACTACTTTCAAAAACTCCTTTTCAACTTTAACTTTAATACTACTATTTTTTTTTCCAACATCAAGATGTGAACCAAGTGTTGCGCCTATATGTGGGGTGGAGCTAAAAGCCCGGGTTCGACTGAACGCAGTAACTTTTGCTCGGACAATTTATTTGTATAAGAAAATTCATTGAATATGTATATAAATATTAAATCTACAATTCAATTATTAACGCTTGAAGACGTTAAAATCGTAGCTCCGCCTATGGTAATCAGACCTCGAGGTTGGGACAAAGCACTTGATCTTTGGGCCACATTTCATCATCTTACTCTCTAATTTAAGTATCATATGGAGTATTTGTTTGATCTTTTCACTTTTCTTATTTTTATAAAAAAATTGAAGCTGCGTTTAGAAACTCCATTACTTGACAGGAAGAGCAATGGCTGAAAAGAAACAAAAATGAAACATAGCCACTAGACATAACTTTATTAAGCTAAAAGATAAAAAGTCTTCTGCTATTACATACATTTATTAACATTGCAGAAAATAAGTGTCCAGTTCTTCTACAAGAGACGAGTTTATTAAGGAAAACATTTCAGTTTCCTTGTCAACCACCTATAAGACTCGAACTAACAGCACAACGTCCTACTGTTCAATCAGATTGTTGAAACAGTAAGTTGCCAAGATATACCATCCAGCAACAAGAAGAAAAAAGCTCAACATACCAAGCAGAAACTGCCACCCGACCATTAAAAGTCCGAAGCAAACCATCACAATGAAAGGCATAAATGATCTTAAGATTGATGAGCTGTCAACCCACTGCCCCTTGGACAGTACAACAACTCCAACATTAACCATGTTCCAATTCATTGATCCTCCATAGGATAGCCGGTTCAGGAAATCAGCGACAAATGAGTGGTCGTTGCAAGTGAAAGGGTTGAAATTTCTATGCTCAAAGTTGAGCGTAGAAGAGTGAAGAGCATCATCCCAACTTACTGCTGTCCCAAATTCTGCATGTTGATAACCTTGCTTGCATATGTGTCCAGAAAGGTTGGGAGGAAAACAGCACTGTTTAAGCATAAACAAAGTTGATAAAGAAAGTTACCAAAACCTGTCTGTAGAGTTCTAAAAGTCATTGAAGGCAGCGGCGGAGCCATCTCTAACCAAGGGGTGCGAATTGACACCCCTTCGCCAGAAAATTACACAAAGTAGCTAGGTAAAAGATTTTTTTTTTTTAATGTAAAAATACTATATGTCGACTCCCCTTGACTTCTTCATGTGTTTAATTTTTTATATTTTGACTCCCCTTCGTGAAACTCCTGGCTCCACCACTGGTTAAAGGGATGCTACTGCAAGTGCACTATTTAACTTTTCTTGATTCTTTTCTCTTTAGGGGGATGGGGTGGGACTTTGCAATGGATGAAAGAAGTCATGGACACATACCTGCCGTCTATCTAGCTGATAGTATCTGGCTACAGCTCCATATGAGAGATTACCAACATTAATCATGTTGGATCCAGAAAAATCTACAACAGTACCATCCTCCCTGCATATGCCAACATGTCCGATGAAAGGTGCAAGCCAAGAAACCACAGGGAGAGGAGTCCAAACAAGGCAACAAGGGAACTTTTCTTTCTTTGGATCAATTTCGTCCAGTGGCCACAAGTCATGCTGAATTCTTTGCAAAGCATTATCCCTTTCAACCACATACCTAGGATTTACATCCATCATAGGAAATCTTCCTGGAAACATATAGCTATGTACAATTTTGTCGTTCCTAGCATTCCAAACTCAGATGACAGCTTCTTGCATTATGGCCCCACTGAACTATTTCTCATTAATCCAGATGAATGAGATTCCCTGCCAAATACTTTATCAAAGAATGAGATTCCTTACAAATAGAAAAAGGAAGAGCTTCTCAGTACAACCTCTAGGCAAAGACTGGAGCTATATCCTCACAGGGTCACACTAAAGTTTGGACAGGGGTCACAATTAAAAGTAGAGTCTCAGCCTTTACAGTTCAGAAAAAGAACGATGAGTCAAAAAACAGTCCTAAGATAAATATTACTTAGCAGTTCCAACTTAGGAGCATAGCCACTTCTTACAGTCTAAAATAAGCCAGAATAAGAGGAACTACAAGAAGCAGGATCTTCTATTCTTGACATATACATAAATCTATATGCAAATACAGGAAAGATACTTGAAGTAATCTCAGGTATCACATCCGATCAATCATTCCTTGAGTATAAATCTGACAGAAACAACAATTAAATATCATATGATTCAGAAAGCTTCTAAAGGCACTTTATTCTGTGTTTCAACGCCCTTTAAGTTCAATATAGAATGATTTAATTACAGAGATAAAATGGGTTCAATTGAATGCTTCACAATAACATATAAGGAGACACGAGAAGAAATAATCATTGGAACAAATGAAGAGGTAGCTTAGGCTGATCGAAATGACTGTTACAAGGTAATGTACCTAATAAACATTGCTGACACAAATAACTTCTCGCCCACCTATATCCTGTCAGTTTTAACCAGCAATCACGCCCTCTGTAATTCATATCTCATATTCTTCCTACTATAATAACCATCAAAGGTGGCTTTTACAAACATTGAAAATGTGGAGGACAATAGCACCAGCATTTCTTAAACACCTTGAAAGTAACATAAAGTTGTAGCTTCAAGTTCCCAGTTGGTGGTCAATATTATCACAAACTCAACTAAACTAGATGTTCAGAGTCCCTTTGTGCATTACGGCAATTAAAACTCCAGGCACTGGCACAGTTCCTTAACCCTTTTTATGTCACAATGAAAAATAATACTTTTTGTACTAGAAGTTAATACACAAATTCTTTGGTCTATCGACAGAAGCTTGAGCTGAAACCTATCACTGAAACAGAAAGATTATTGAGCTTGGAGATTTTTGTTTCATATCAAATACCGGTAGTTTATCAAACCAAAAAAGGAAAGAAAAAAGAATCAAATAATTAGTATGTCACATGAAAGTAACCTCTTTAGTAAAGAAAGTTTCCAATGGAAGCAGGTTGCTGATAGATTTTGAATTAACTCAAGAAATGCCAACCACCAAAGAAAAGGGGAAAAGGCCTAAGCATTTAAATTTCAGGCTAGGTCACTCATGCACCATGCTTATTCAAAAATGAAGCAACCAAGGAGAATAAACATTTGACTCGCTTGGCTTAAATCTCGAGTGAAAAGGAAATGACTTGTGTCACGGATAGGGAAGTCGGTAAGATGATATTTCTATAATGCCCAATATCTAAAGGGAAGAAGAAGATGTAGAAGTTCTAACTTACAGCACCTGCTGATCATGAATGAAATTTACCCTCCTAAAAAAAGAAAGAAAATATAGAGAAGAAAATGTAGTCATATTGAATAACGTTCCTTATTTTCAATGATATAGTAGTGGATAACTTAATGTTCACTACATTTTCTTTACCAAAATACAAGATACACTTACATATAGGCGTGACTGACACAATAGAAAATAGAGGGATGAATGTGAAGGATATCTATAAATTACGCATTTATTGCACGGCTTGACACATTCATTATGTCTGCACCTATCAATGCCCTGTTTGACTTCCTAACACAAGCTCATAGTGATGAAACTACTTCAGCCTGAAAGCTAATATGGAAAAATCAACATTAACGAAATACTACATTCATAACAGTTAACAATCACCATATAGTGCCTAGTTGCCTGGAAGAACAAGAGGCAGCCTTTATCCAAAATAAATAAATGAAAAGAGTATTGTAGTCAGCAATTAAGGCCAACAAACAACCTAAAGAAAAGCAGTGACAGAAGTCTGATATTTTCTGGAAGCAATAGGCCGGTATAAGGCCAGCAATCACTGGGAAGAAAACAGGCTGACAATTGCCAGAACAATTAACCAAAATAAAATGTGGTCACATAAATCAGACATCTACCAAGATAATTATTAGAACATCGATCGAATCAATATTAGCAGGGTGATAGATAAAGACAAACATATAAAGATTAACCAGATTCAGTTTCATTTCATCACGTTTAGGTTAAAATCTAGCCATTTAAGTAAAGATCATCTTATGAAATTTAGCTAAAATGGAAAAATCTTAAAACCCTCCTTTTCGATTTATGTGAACCTATTTCCTTTCTAGTCCATGCCAAAAAGAATGACCCCGTTCCTTATTTGGAAACAATTTACTTTTATGCAGTAATTTATAGCCACACAAAATATATGTGCCTCATTTTACACCAAAAGTCTTTTCTCTTTTCTTAAACTCCGTGCCCAGTCAAATAGGTTTACATAAATTGAAACGGAGGGAGTATCTGTTTTGGATCTTCCGGAAACTATTGGAAAATAAAAGGTTAGTACAAAAGATACTTTCCAAAATGGTTTATCTCTCATATTTAAAAGAAGCTATGCTAATTACATTTTTTTAAAAGGGGTGATAGGGGAATTACATGGCTTATAAGTTTCATGAGGATCGGCGAATATGTTAAAGTTGAGGAGTTCCTATACAAAATGTATGACACCTCAATAAGAAGGAAGGAACGGACAAGATGATATGGAGGGTGTCGAGAGAATAATTATTTCAATGAGATCATACTACATAGGGCTACTGGTACGGAATCTGGTTCTTTTAGGGTATGGTTGATGGTTGTTTATGAATTCCATCTCTACTACAAAATCGGACGTAGGAGTTTCTTCCCATCCAGCTCCTCACAAACAAAAAGATTTAAAACCGTTAATTTGAATTAAAATAGTATAGTAAATCTTAAGATGTATACGTATTTAGTGAGATCGAAAATGGGATTTTTTGAGATTTCATTCAATATATAATAGCTTTTCCCCCTTGTTGATGAATTGGATCCTATATAAATGTGGTTAACATAAGGGAAGGCGATAAATCATTATGATTTGGTGTAACTTATGTAGAGACATGGCGAAGATAGTGATCACCACATGTTGCATTGTAGTCTCATATCACAACTATGACAATGTGTTGTCACGATAAAGACGAACATATAACGATTATCTCTAAAATCTGTTCCCCTTCACCGTCTCTGGTTTTAGAGAGAAAAAAGTCTAACCCATTTTAGGTAAAGATCATGTAATAAATTGAGCTAACATGGAAAAGATTTCCATCATTTTTTCTCAATATTCAACATTAGTGGAAAAGAAAGTAAGTACAAGATATGCGCTTCGCAAAATGGTTAATTTTTCCTAATTATAGAGAAACTATGATGGCTAATCATTTAAGAAGGTATAGTAGAAAAGTATACGAGACATAAGTTTCACGAGGATGCTATTACATTGTTGCTTAAAGTAATGAAGCAACATGAAGCTAGGGATTATCATGTCAGGGCTTAAGCCATGTGCTTCAAATACTGACGCACAAAGTGATTAAAACAAAGACCTCGCCTTTGAACATCAACTTTGAGGAGTTGGATTATTTTATGCACTTATTGAATATTCTATGTTAAAACTAATTATTTTATTTGCAATTTGATAATTATAGTACTAAATTCATATAAAATTGGAATTTTTAGTTTTCCATAATTTTTGCACTCCACTTCAAAGAATTGTGCACTTTTTTGAGATGGAAAGAAGCATTCACTTTATTTCTCGTTTTTCGCTTCAAGCCCCATAGACCTTATCGTTTTTGCGCTTTTCACTTTTAAAAACACTAGGAACAAATAAGGTTAAGGAGTTCCTATAGAAAATATATGACGCCTCAATAGAGAGGGGAAGGATTGACAAGATGATATGTAGGGTGCCGAGGGATAATCATTCACGGTTGCGACATTACATGGAGCTATTAAAAGGGATAAAAAGGGAGGTATTGAAGAATATTTTGAATACCAAAATACCAAAGAAAGTAGCTTTTTTCCTTGTTGATAACGTGGAATGAGATACGGCGGCTAACATAAGGGAAGGCGGCAAATTGTTACAAGTTGGTATTACTTGTGTGGAAAAGATCGAGAAGATATTATGCAGCCGATATTGCATTGCAGTCTCATCATAGAACCTTGTGTTGGGTGATAGAGCAAGACAAGCATAGCGCAAAACTATCATAAGATTATCTCCGTAACCAGTTCCCTATGGTTGGTTTATAAAAGAAAAAGCCTATTCATTTTAGTTAAAGATCTTGTAAGAAATTTGGTGACATGGAAAATGAGCTCTTCATCATTTTTAGATTTTTCAACGCTAATGGAAATAAAAAGCTTCATACTAAAATACACACCATTGCAAAATGGTTAATGTCTCCTTATAGTTGAGAAACTATGGTGGCTAGTTAGTTACATAAAGGATGATAGCGAATTGCATGGGTTTTAAGTTTCATGAGGGGCGTTCAAGATTGGAAAAATATAAGGATAATGAAGAGTTCCTACATAAAATACTCCCCCGTTCCAAAAAGAATGATACTCCCTCCGTTTCAATTTATGTGAACCTGTTTGACTGGGCACGGAGTTTAAGAAAAAATAAGACTTTTGAAATTTGTGGTCCTAAACAAGTCAAAATGAGGTCCAGAGTATTTGACTGGTTATAAAAGCTTCTCATTAAGGGTACAATTGGAAGTTTAAACTAAATTGTTTCCAAATTTAGAAAGGGGTCATTATTTTTGGAACGGACCAAAAAGAAATAGGTTCACATAAACTGGAACAGAGGGAGTACTATTTTCTTATTAGTCCATTTAAAACAGATGATACCTTAAATTTGGAAACAATTTAACTTGAACTTTTCATTTTACACTTAACAAAAAGCTTTTATAGCCACACAAACGTTATGGCATGTTTAAGACCATAAGTTCAAAAGTTTTATATCCACACAATGTTATGGTATGTTTAAGACCGCAAGTTTCAAAAGTCTTCACTACTTTCTTAAACTCCGTGCTCAATCAAACTACAGCATAAATTGAAACGGATGGATTATGTGATACTTCAATAGGGAGGAAAGCGATAGAGAAGATAATACATAGGTTACGTGGAAATCATTCACGGTGAGACTATGCTACATACCGCTATAAGAAGGGGCAAAAGATGGAAGCCTGGAAGAATATTAGGAATACTAGACTACCAAGAAAATAGTTTGTTCTCCCTACCGGTAATTAGGGATGCTAATTTTCCTTGATGGTAATGAGGGATGCTACGGCAACAGCTACTAACTTAAGGTAAGGCAACAATCGCTAAGAGTTGGTATTGTCTATGTAAAACATGGAAAAGATGCAAAACACCTTCTAATGCACAGCAGTCTCATATCAACTCATGCAACCTTGCATACTTTTTTTTTATATATCGGTGGTGTCCGAACACCTTGCACATACTTGACTAATCCATCGAGTATTTGTCCAGTACACAAGCATAGATTGCCCAGATAATTGCGCCCACCATTGTCGGGGGAATGGCATATCAAGCGTTGTATCCGGGATTTGAACTTCAAATCTCCAAATAGTTACTCTCGTGCCTCATCCACATCGAGACCTTCGTGCTTCCAGTTTAATATCATACTGGTGTTTCCTAGATGGGATGAAGTACTACCGATCCGGGGTTACAGAAGATTGACAAAAAAAGAAAGGCAGCTTGGAGAACTATACCATTGTGCCATTTTGGATCTATTCTTTTATTTGGGTGGGAGGGGGGGGGGGGGTCTTTGGTTGGAGAAGTGTGTCCTTTAGATTATTTGGGATCGAAAGAAATAGAAGATTGTTCAAAGCAGTAAGAATGATACAACAAATATTAAAAACTTATTTTTGTTTCAGCTGTTGGTGTAAGAGAGAATTCCTTGTTGTATAGATAGTTCGGTTAACCTTTAGATGAAAGTGGTTAAGCCACAAACCCAATTTAAACATCTCTGTATATCATCTTGGTGTGTCAACGAAATACTTATGTTTCTCAGAAGATACAGATATAAATGTTTCACTAAACATTTTCTCTAACCTATGCTACATCTCCAAAAAGTTAAGTTGTAACAAGTATAAGCGCACGCTAGACAAAATCATCTACCTAAGATTCACGTACCTCTATTACCAACTTTTTTCAGTTTCCAAGTACGAAAAAGGTAATAGATTAGTATCAGTCTGCTTTGATAATTCTGAAGGCAACAAGAAGAAATATGAAGATGAAACATATTACAGATAATTATGTTTGGAATCCAACTTTCACTATTCATAATCAAAATTATGAGGTATAAAGAGTCAATGAATTCACAGATCCTTCTTGCTGAATTACTACAAGCAATTTCATTCTATTTCTTTTGTAAAATTCAAATGACTTCAACATCTTCTGGCAGATTGTAAGTATCAAGTTATCCGAACGCCCTTCTCAGTAAAGGACAAAGAAAAGAGAAAAGCGCTTTTGAGCTGAAAACAGTGAAAAGAGATCTCCCTAGCTCATGTAGTTATCAAAGTAGCTGCAGAAATTCTTCAGGCCAATTTCATTAAAGAATAAGAGAAAGAGCTAGCAAGAGAGGGTGGTCAATCAAAGGCATGAGCACCAGTGCTCCCGCAACATTAGATTCTAACAAGAGACTACCAGAAAAGAAAAGTCAACACAATTTTTGAAACATCTAAAATACTAAACAAGCAGAACTTATAGACAGTTGTATTAAAGGCTAACTGAAATTGGTTCAAGCTATTGTTCAAGTCTTTCACTAATTTAGAGCAATGATTGACATCTACCAACTAGGATACTTAACCTGATTCAAGAAAATGAATTCACTCCCTTGAGTCCTTCCTAAGGTAACCAAGGACAAAAGGTATTCGAGAAATTTAATTTACAGGACCTAGATTCCAGGGTAAAAATGCAGATGCATTTGCAGTGACATAAGGGTCAAAGAAAGTATAGATCAATTATCGACCTTATTGTATCTTCTCGGCAAAGCAAGATGCAAACCAAGATGTGTTCTTGAGAATTCCAAAGTCACCTATGTACAGAAAAACCAACACCCACATAAAAAAAATAACAAAAGTAAAGATTTAAATGTAGAAATGTAAGTGCATTGAGTAACAAAAATCAACAAAGGAAAATAGGGGAAAGATGAAAGAGCCCTGGAACCTACAGAGTATAACAAGCCAAGAACCACAGTGAAGAGACACAATCAGCAACTTAGATATCAACAAAGCATTACAGTTCTGAGAAAGAGGAAGACCCAACTAAGAAAGGCTAGAAAACAAGAGTGAGTACTGGTCAGATTTTGTTGTCCACTTGTCACTTTTTTCTGTTTCTCTTTTATGTCCACTTCTTTTGGTTTACCAAGAAGAAGACGACAGTATTGTTGAGAGATGCATTAACTGAACTAAAATATATGCATCACTTTTTGTCCATTTATATATGCCACGTGGCATTGGCTCGACTGAGAATCCTAATGTCACAGAGGACACATACTCAATTAGGATCAAATAGACTATTTCTGTTCAGTTTAGACACCACCGAGCGTAGTAAATGCAAAAACCTAGTGTATCATCAATCAAATACTTTTTATCAGAAAAACTAGATATAATTGCTTCGCTAAATTTGTACCCTTACCTATTCTACACCTCTAAAAATATCGCTGTAATGAGCATAAATATCATCCGAGCTAAAATCATGTACCTCCATCTTCGCGTACTTCTACTTTTTCACGAACTACTTCTTTCAGTTTCCAAGTAGATAAAGAAGTAATAGGTATTGATCAGGCAACAAGAAAGAAGAATCTTGAAAGTAAGCCCCAAATTTTTTAAGTATGTCCGAAATCCAATGTTTACGAACCATGATCAAATTCAGGGGGAGTGGCTCTTTAAAAAGAGTGATTATAGGATCCTTTTCGATGCATTAGTACAAGCAATTTCATCCCTTCTCATTCATAAAATTCACATAACTTCAAATATGGTGGCAAATTAAATATCAAGCACATCTAATTAGATTCTAACAAGAGACTGCCAGGAAGAAAAATTCTACACATATACTCAGACATATAGAATACTAAACAAGCATAACTTATAGACATTGTATTAAAAGCTAATTTACAGTCGGTTCAAGCTATTGTCCAAGTCTTTCACTAATTTTGAGCAATGATTAACTTGGATACTGTGATCCAATTCAAGAAATCGAGTTCACTCCTTTAAATCTTCCCTAAGGTAGCCAAGGGCCCAAAAAAATCAAGAAATTGGCTTTTCAGAACCTACATTCAGTTACAAAAATAAAAATAAAAAAACTACAGTAAAGATAGTTTTTTTTACCTAATAATGTGTCTTCTGGGCAACCCAAGATGCAATCCTTACAATTCAAGTCACCTATGTAAAGAAAATAAACTAAGACCCAGATAAGAGAAACAAATGTAAGTACATTTGAGCAACTAAAATTGATAAATTAAAATAAAAAAGGGGAAAGATGAAAGAGCAATGAACCTACAGAGCAGAGGATATAAGTCAAAGAAGCACAATCAGCAACTTAGGTATCAGTGAAGCGGTTACGGTTCTGAGAAAGAGGAATACCAAACAACTATACTAGAAAACAAGAGTAAATGCTGGTCAAAAAATTTTTTGTCCTTTTTGCTTTCTGTTTCTCTTTTACTAGTATAAGAACCCGCATAGCGCGGATAATTTGACAGGATATTAGAGCTTGTTTGGCCAAGCTTCTGCGACGCCAAAAGAAACTTTTTTTTCCTAAAAAAGTATTTTAAAAAAAAATTGAGTTGTTTGGCCAATACAGAAAAGTACTTTTTGCTGCAGCAGAACTAGTTTTTCTGCTTTTGGGAAAAAACAAAAAATTCTAGCTTCTTCCAACAAGCAGAAGCAGAAGAAAAAAATTAATTTATTCAAGACAAAACTATCCTCACCATAATTTATATTATTCATATTATCCCTTACTAATTTAAGTTTTTTCTTTTCATTTTTGTTTCTAGTTTTTACAACTATTAAAATTAAAGATATCATATATATGAATCATATTGTAACTTTTCAAATTATCTTCTTCTTCACACTAAAGCAAATTATCTGCATCTTCTTTGGATTATCAATTCTCTTCCTACAAATAATTATTTATAATTTCTTCTATTATATGCTATTAGTTCCCGAATCTTTAAAATAATTATCAAATCTGATTTGTGAAATTGACCTACAAATAGGTAATAAATTTACAATTGCATTGCATAATCTATCTATATATTATTAAAAGAAGAAGAAAATGCATCCATATTTAGTCAAGTGGCAGCCTCACAATAGGCCACTTGGCATTTTAGGACAAAGTTAGTAAGGTTATGCAATAATTAGTTTCTTTTTTAATTTAAATTTTTTTTTTAAATATTATACATTATGTGTTGTTAATAATTAGCTACTCTTTTTGAATTAGAATTTAAACATACTTAACTATTTCTTTTACGATTTTTTTATACATTTAAAATTATTTTTAGTTTACGTTGAATGTCATCTTTTAAGTTTGACATTCAACATCATCTAGTTACAACTATCATGGCCATACATAATTTCATCCGATATATTCTTTTACCGATAAAGAATTCAACTATTATGCTAACGGAAAAGGGCCAAAAATGTCGAACTATTCGAAATAGCTCAAAAATATCCTCCGTTTGTTTTTGTTGCCAAAACTATCCCTGCCGTCTATGTTTTGGACCACAAATGTCCCTAAACCGTTAGTCTTGCCATTGAAGCTGACATGGCAGTCCAACTGGGTTAGATTTGCTTACATGGCCATCCACTTAAGCAATCCAGAATGACAAAACTATTTTTTCGAGAAAATTATTTTTCTGAAATTTTTTATTAAAATACAAAATCAACATTTGTTCCAAAAAAAGAAAAAATATTCAGAAAAATTATTTATTTCAGATAAAATACAAAATCAACACTTATTCCGAAAATAGTAAAAAAAAATCGGCAAATTTATTTATTTATTAAAATATTATATATAATATACAAAATAAATTATTTTGGAGCATGCTTTAATATATTGTTCCGGAAATCTTTTACTTTTTTCGGAATAAGTGTTCGATCATGAATATTTTAAATTTCACTTGAAGTTAAATTTCAGAATTTTTGTAAATTTGAAAACTCCAAAAATTATAAGAACTTCGGATGAACCAATTGACACTTACAGTAGAGGTGTGTCTTTTGTGAAGCTATAACTGATAAGTATCTAAATATTTAGATCAAACTAATCATAAATTCACAAAAGAGAGCAATGGAGTTTTTTAATCAAATCATAAAGCCCAATCAAGAATAATTTTTCCGGAATTTTTTTACTATTTTCGGAATAAGTGTTGATTTTGTATTTTAATAAAAACAATTTCGAAATAAATAATTTTTCTCGAATATTTCTTACTTTTTTCGAAATAAATGTTGATTTTGTATTTTAATTAAAAATTTTTGATTTTTTTTTTTCCGAAAAAATAGTTTTGTCGTGCTGGATTGCTTAGGTGGATGATCATGTAAGCAAATCTAACCTAGTTGGACTGCCATGTCAACTTCAATGGCAATACTAACGGTTAGGGGCATTTGTGGTCCAAAACATAGACGGCAGGTGTCACGACCCAATTCCCATACCCGGTCATGATGGCGCCTCTCGTGAAGACAAGGCCAGCCAACTAACCCAAATCCTTTCACTAACAATTATTAAACATAAATGAATAGAAGATACAACTTAATGGCATTAGAAACTGTTAGTTACTACCCGACCGGGGTGTCACAAGTCACGAGCATCTAAGGAAACCTTAACACAACTACAAGCCAATAAATACATACAAGTAAAATTTCTGGAAAACAAAAGACAACATCCGGTGCCGCGAACGCTGGCGGTCACCTTGCTCAGCTACAATAACAATACCTTCAATCCGCTAATAACCCGCTACCGGGTGAGCGATACCTGCAACTGCACGCAAGGTGCAGGGAGTAAAGTGAGTACTTCCAACTCAGTGGTAATAAGAGTAAATAATAACTGAGAGGCAAGAGATCACGTAAGAGCACTCCATCATGCTATATAGGACAGTACAACCCTTTGAGAAAACAGTAAAACCATGAAAAATCCTTTAGAAAATATCTGGCTCAGTTTAAAAAACCTTTTTTGAAAATATCCTTTTCCAACAGTCAAGCAAATGAATGCGTAATCAGATAGTGCAAGTCCGCACATAGGTCAGCCCCTCGGGCACAACACTCCATCAACAAATAACACCAGGGTGTCTGGTAAACAGTGCAAGAAGTAGCATGGATGCCAATGATATGAGAGTGCTGAATGTCATGACACGTAGTACAAACAGGAACCAATGCATGGATGCAATGCAATGCACATGACCGCTGCGGCGTACAGCCCGATCCATTTGGGTACCCGCGCTCACTGTGGGGGTTCAGACTCCGGAGGGGCTCCTACAGCCCAAGCGCAATATCATCATAGTATCGCTGCGACGTGCAGCCCGATCCATATTCAGTCCAGATCAATGCAAATGAGCCACTCGGGCAATGTCAAGTAATAGCTTTTAACTCAAAACATCAGAAAAATGCAATTTAAGTTTTTAAACTTTTAGCAATATGACTGCACATTTCAAAACAGTGTTTAACTAAGACTGAAGTCATTTAACATGCCCAGTTTCATGAAAACAGTGATAATAATCCCTAAAAGATTCAAATAATCGGCACGAAGCCCAAAACATGGCAATCAACCCAAATCACGATAGCATCAAGTAGGTTTCAGTCAATTACGCAGTAAAATCAACAACCGGGACGGACCAAGTCACAATACCCAACAGTGCTCTACCCCACGCTCATACCTGGCGTGCAAGTCACCACAATACAGCACTATGATGTGCAAATCCGGGGTTTCAAACCCTCAGGATATCATTTACAAGTATTACTCACCTCGAACCGGCGAAATCTCTAGCCCGCGACGCCTTTGCCCCTCAAATCGGCCTCCACGCGCGTCGAATCTAACCAATATCAGAGCGAATATATCACAATATGCTAAGGGAACAATACCCAATCGAAAACAATCGAAAATTAGCAAGAATCTCGAAACTAGCAAAACCCGAGCCCCGGGCCCGCTTCTCGAAAAAATTACGAAATTCACATCACCGGATTCCTCGTCTCGCCACGAGTCCATACATACCAATTTTAACAAAAAATCGGAGTTCAAATGCCCTTTCAAAATCCGTTTTTACATCACAACTTTTCAAGCTCTAGCTTGACCCGTTTTTGATGAATTTTCCACAATTTACATGTAATTTCTACCATAAACTTGGATATTTAGACCAAGGAACTTACCTCCAATTGATTCTCATTCAAAGCCCTCGAAAATTCTCGCTCAAAGCTCTCAAATCCGCTTTAAAATGGAGGAAATAACATAAGCTTCGCGGAACAAAAATGAATATAAAACCCTTCTGGCTACAGGGGTTTCCGCTTCTGCGGTCCCCACACCCGCTTCCGCGATACCGCTTCTGTGATCATTTCCCGCTTCTGTGGAATTTCACTAAACAAAACCCAAGGCCGCTTCTGCGACATATTCTCCGCTTTTGCGGAACTCCATCTATAGACCAAGATCGCTTCTGCGATCGCCCGTCCGCTTCTGCGGACTCGCTTGCGCGAAAAAGGTTCTGCTTCTGCGGAACTACCCTACTCAGCTCTTGACCGCTTTTGCGACCACCATTACGCTTCTGCGGAACCGCTTCTGCGGTCCATTTCCGCAGAAGCGAAAATATCAGATACCAGCTATAACCTGCAATTCCTCAACTCCAATTTCATCCCGATGGCCATCCGGAATTACCCCGAGGCTCCCCGGGACCTCAACCAAAAACACCAACATATCCCATAACATCATTCAAACTTGTTCCAATCATCAAAGCACATCAAACAACGCTAAAACCATCAAATCACATCGGATTCAAGCCTAAGTTCTTCAAAAACTTCTGAATGCACTTTCGATAAAAAACCCGACCAAACAGCGTCCGAATGACCTGAAATTTTGCACACATATCCAAAATCACCTAACGGAGCTACTGCAACTCTCGGAATTCCATTCCGACCCTCGGATCAAAATCTCACCTATCTACCGGAATTCGCCAAAAATGCCAACTTTGCCAATTCAAGCCTAATTCTACTCCGGACCTCCAAAATTACTTCCGATCGCACTCCTAAGTCACAAATCACCTCCCGAAGCTAACCGAATCGCTGGAATTCACATCCGAGCCTTCTAACTCGTAAGTCAACGTCCGGTTGACCTTTCCAACTTAAGCCTTCCTTAAAGAGACTAAGTGTCTCATTTCCTATCTAAACCAATTCAATTCAACTCTAACTCACCCGTTGCTGATAATAAAACATGAAAGAGCAATAAATGGGGGAAACGGGGCTGTAATACATGAGACGACGGGTTGGGTCGTCACAGCAGGGATATTTTTGGCACCAAAAACAAACGGGGGATATTTTTGAGCTATTTCGAATAGTTCAAGGACATTTTTGGCCCTTTTCCGTTATGCTAATGAAGACATTATTGCAGAGATTGATGAAGGAGATCAGCCTTCTGATATTCATTTAGAAATGCGAGACACGTCTTCTACTAATATGGAAGTGTTGTGTGATAGAAGTAGAGATG